TTGCCAGATTCCTGGTATGGCCATAGCCCCGGTATGGCCACGACCTACATTATAATTTGGGGCAAAAACTCCATATACCCAGTAAATGGGTAATAAAACTCCATCTACCCAGTCGCCCGCCAACCCCCTTTTGGAAAGGTTAACGAGCCAATGAGAGCACGTACTCTCAATTGAGAGTACGTGCTCTCATACAGCCTTTTTGAAGCAATTGAGCTGGCAATATGCCAGCTCATACGCACGGTAAGTTGGGGGTCAATTGAGACCCCCAATCCTTCCCCCCCTTCCCTTCCTCCCCTCCACCGAAGAACCCCGCTGACCCCCTCCTAGGCTCCCTCCCTCCAACCCCCTCGAAACCCCCCACAGAAGCCCTTGCACGAGGCAACCTCCTCCACCCTGCCCCCACCTCCCACGATGGCCTCGCTGGCTGAACTCGCTGTTCCTGTCGACGGCAGCGAGTTCCTCGACTTGGACGCTTGGTCCCACGCCCTGGACGACTGGGCCGTCAAGGAGAAGTTCTCCTGGCGGCTCCAGAGGAGGGACAAAGACGGGGCAACCGCTGTTTGTCCCGAGGAGGGCTGCGCCTGGCGTGTCCGGGCCATCCCCAACGACGAGCAATGGAAGCTCGTCGTTGTTTGGGGGACACACACTTGCGTGGGGAGGGGGCAACGGAAGTTTGCCTCCTCCTCTAAAGGAGAATGGCTAGACGGCGTGGTCTCGCAACACCTACGGGTGTCCAAAAAGACCACGCCACGGGAGATTGTGGAGCTCCTCCGCGTTCGATTCGCGGAGGAGATACTCTACGGGAGGGTGCAGCAGTCTTTGCTACGCCTTCTCATAGGGGATATCGGAGTGCAGAGGCATAGCTTTCAGCTATTGCCTTCGTACAAGCGCCTCCTGGAAGCATCTGCTCCAGGAGTTTATGTCGATCTCATTCGAGATCGACACAACCGATTCCAACGGATCTTTGTGTGCCCTGCAAAAAGCAGGGCCACGTTCCAAGCCTCCTGCCGGCTTGTTGCAGTGGACGGGACCTTCTTGAAGGCCCGTTTCATCCTGACTCATATTGTGGCTGTTGGCATTGATGCCAACGGCCACATTGTGCCACTTGCTTGGGCAGTGGCTGAGTCAGAGAACGCGGACTCTTGGGAGTGGTTTTTGAACCACCTCAAGTGGTCCCTCCCAGAGCTCGTGAGCGAGCCAAGCACCCTTGTCTCTGATAGAGACAAGGGGCTTCTTGTTGCAGAGAGAACTCTCTCTCCGCAGGTGGCGATAGCTCATTGCTGTCGCCACCTCTCTGAGAACTTCTCAGAGCGGTTTGGGAAGGGCCTTCTGCCCCTCTTCTAGAAGATTGCCCAAGCCACAACTGTAGCTCAATTCAACAAGCATTTAAAAGAGCTTCGAGCGTCAAAGCCCGAAGCATCGGCATACCTTTGTAGTGCCAAGCCTGAACAGTAAGCTCTAGCGAAGTTTCGTGGCTGTCGATACGGCCACGATACTTCAAATATCGCGGAGAGCTTCAACAAGCTCATCCGCTCGGATCTAGAGCTCCCAATCGTGGAGCTTCTCGATGCGCTCTGGCACTGGGTGATGGCCCAGCGTGCCGAGCGTTCTCTTTTGGCTGAGGAGGCCATTGCCAAAGGGCAATGGCCTCCTCTTATCACTGGGTTGGTGGAGGAGGGGAGGAACTGGGCCCGTTGTAATGGGCTCCAAATGTCCTCTCCGACAGAGGCACGGGTAGTCCAGCCAGATGGCAGGATCTACCTTGTTGACCTGACGGCAAGAACTTGTTCTTTCCGTTGATACCAAGAGAATGGCGTGCCCACAAGGCACGCCATGACTCTTATCTTTCGACAAGGGAGTCAATTGACTCCCTTTCTTCCAGCAGCACTGTCTGCTGGAAGTTGGCAGAGGCAGTATCAACTGCCTCTGCCTCCAATCTCTGTCGAGGGTCTTCTCGTAGACCCTGACCTTAACGCCTCGGGAGGAGTTTGTGACCCTCCGGTCACCCGAATCCCCCGAGGCCGACTGCGAAAAGAGAGGGTTCAGCAGGAGGATGCCCGGCGTCCTCGAGGACGCCGGGCTCGCCGGGATCATGGAGGACTTCTGCCGCTTGGGGCAGTCGTTGCCGCCATGCCGGACTTAGTCCGTACACGCTGCGGCACCTGCGGTGAGCCTGGGCACAATGCCAGGACTTGCTGCAGGCCTCATAATTGACCTGTTCTCATTTCAGAACAGGAGGGGTTTACGGGGGGGTTTACGGCTGTTCTCATATGAGAACACGGGGGTTTCTGGATTGGGTTTTGGGGGGGGGGGTCACGTGGGATGGAACTGGGTATAACGTGGTTTATCAGTACGTCGGACATATCAGTACCTCGGACACTTTTCATTGGCATTCTACTTTGAATATCAATAAATCAACCATAACATATTAAATTAACTATAACTAAGCGGAATCAGATGAACTAGACATATCTATAGCTTCTTGACAAGTTCGCGCATTATGACCAGCTTTTCCACAGATCCCACAGCATCGCCTAGACGGTTGCCCCTCCTTGTGACTACCCCCAACAGCACGTACGTCGCGTCGTACCTGCTCATCCACATCCTTCTGTGCGATAATAGCCTGTGCATCCTCTACTATAAGTGCACCTCCTTCACGGACACGAGCCTTTTTAGCCCTGCGGCGTTTGCTAAGGGCTTCGTTGGCTGCTCGAAGGGTACGTACCTCAGCAGACAGAAGGGTGTTCTCATGTGCTAGTCGCTCCGTACCCTTTGCCAATGCAATAACTGTCCCGAAGAGTGGAGTTGGCGAGCTTCCTTGGTGACGGGCAATTCGATTTCGAACGAGGGTTGTTTGTGAAAGAGCTTCAGTTGGGTTGGAAGGGGTCTGGGAGACCCAAGGGTTGGTGTTGGCAGTAGAGGGTCTAGAGGGAGTTGGAGTCCGTAACCTCACGTCAAGCTTTGAAAGCACTGCTTGCGGGTCGAAAGGCACTAAGCCAGCTCCGCGGAACCCGGACTGGGCGTTTTGGGCTGTCATGGATTCCAGATATGCTGCTCTAAAGGCGAGAAAGAACTCGACCTTGGTAATGTGGTTGATATGAGCCTTAATGAAGGTCTCAATCTGCCGACCATATGCCCGCTTCAACACACTAAAGCACCCGACATCAAGTGGCTGAGTTAAATGAGACGAGTGGGGAGGTAGTCCAAGAGTTATAATGTTGTGTGCCTTGCAGTACTCTTGGAACTCGGCCGATTCATGACTCTCGTGCCCGTCTAACACCAGCATTCGATATGGACCCCTTGCACGAACAGCAGTATGTTTGTCGAAGTGTTTCAACCATTCTAGACCCGTCTCATTGTTTGTCCATCCATTGCTTGTCGGTTTAACAACCCAGTTGTGTGGAAGGCCGCCGTCTGTATACCAATTTGCAAGATGATTCTTGCCTTTAACTACCAAAAATGGAGGAATACTCCAGCCGTCACTGTTGATACAAGCAATCGCTGTAGCCCATTCCCGATTCCCTGGCTGAACTGCCTTACCTCTGCCAAGTCGATCTGCACGGGTAACAACCATTGCAGGGCAAATCACACCCATCATAAACCCAGTTTCGTCAAAGTTATAGAAGTCGCAGTCCAAAACACCATATTTTGCCCTCATATTTTCCACTAGTCGAAACCACGCGCCAATTAGTTCAGGATCTTCGCACAAGGCCCTTTGGAAGTCGTAAACGCGATTAAAACGCGTCTTTAATTCTGGACGTCGTTGTACAAATCGGTGGGCCCAGAGCTTCCCGACGCGCCTCCCTCCACGCGACTCGAGTATAAAATTTGCCATATCTTCTACACCAGCAAGCCGGGGTGCAAATCCTCTTGAATCCATATCAAGTATATTCCGAATAACCACCTCCTCTTCTAGTATAGTTAATTTCATCATTGCAGGCCGGCGTTTGTAGACAGTAGTTCGGCCGTTCATTCTGTCGCAGAGTGTAGAATGAGGTACTTCATAGAGCTTAGCAGCCTTCCGACGACTTAGATTTTTTGATGTTCGGATAGCCTCGATAGCTAGAATGATTTTTGCTTCTTGGGTAATCACTGACATAATAAAAGGTGGAAAAAACGCGTTGTGAAGTTAGAGGGTAGGAAATTCGGGAAAAGTGTCCGAGGTACTGATATGTCCGACGTACTGATAAACCACGTTATAGAATTTATTTATTGTTTTACTGGGTATATGGAGTTTTTGCCCTATAATTTGTGTAGATTGCATTGTTCCAATTGAAAACCCAGTCTCATCCATGTTGTAGGTGTTGTAGTTTTCGATTTTTTGCTCTGTTACAAGGCTCTTGTACATGTCAAACCACGCCTTCAACACCTGCTTTGTAACCCTGTTCATCCTTTGTGCTTCAACCCTCCGTCCTAACTTAACGCGTAGGGTAGGATGCCTTTGAATAAATCGTGGCACCCAGTCTTGCCCAAGAGGTAAGTGAGGTATTTGAAGTTGTGGTTGTTGAGTTTGTTGTTGTGATTGCCTTTTGTATGCGTGTAAGTTGTGCTTTATTAAGATGTAAGAGTGCGGCCGTCAACTGCTTTTTCAGTGGCCTAAACACCGTAAAATCAAGCGGTTGTAGCACATGCGATATGCGATTCTGCATACAATGCGATATGAAACTCCCGCTTATATGACTGTCATGGCCATCATATATAAGAAGACGTTAGTCATGTCCGACACCTGCTTTCTTACGTAGCTCAAACATGCGTAGTAGCCTTCAATACCCCGTCTTATCCATACTATACACGTTATGTTCTTTGGTTTTCAGACGCGTCACAAGGTCCTTGTACGCGTCGAACCGCCCCACTAACACTTCTTTTGTAACTCTGTTCATCCTTTATGATTCGATTCTTCTTCCTAGTCGGACTTGTAGGTGTGGATGTCGTTTAATAAAGCGTGGAACCCAATCCTATCTAAAGCACAAAGTTCGGAATATGTTCGTGGGTGTGCTCGTCGTCAGAGTGTTTGTGATCTTTGAAAACGCGTCAGAGTGTTTGTGATCTTCGAAACGCGTCAGAGTGTTTGTGATCTTCGAAACGCATCAGAGTTTTGTGATCTTCGAAACGCGTCAGAGTGTTTGTGATGTTCGAAAACGCGGCAGTGGTTTAGATGGACCTCATCTGCAACCTCCCGTAATATGTGGTGACTAGGCGCGTATCCACCTTTCGTAAGGACCTTTATCCACTTTAATAACGTTGCTTCTTGGTTTTTCGGGAGGAGTTGTTGTTTCTGTCGCGCTTCTGTCCGTGAAGGCATTCCTTGGACGCGGTTAGCAACAGTATTCTTACAGAGACCTAACGCTTTTGCAGCTGCATAAGAAGAATTATATTTGCCAGACTGGACGCCTAATACTGCCTCTGCTACGCGGATATCAACTTCTTGCGCTTTTGGGCTTCTTCGACGTACCATTGTTGTGTCAGTTATCATTTAGTTTGGTGGTGGGGTTCGCGTTAGGTCAAGCACGCCACACGCCCAAGTACGCCACGACTGACGTTGCATGTACGTTGTTATCTCCAAGCAAGCCTTGTAACACCACACCACCCCCATAATTACCAGAAACCCTCATTATCCCATCCAATACGAGAAATCTCATACCCCCACCAACGCACCGACAGACCCAACATCAGCACCTCCATCCCGCCCCCGCAACGGCGCACGCGGGTCAAGCCACACCACGGCCCGGCAGTGCGCCCCCAGCGCAAGCCACCGGCTGCCACGTGTTGGTGCGTGGCGGGCGCCTCGGACGACGGGTGTGGGGGGTGTGTTTGTGACCTGTTTTGCGCGGGGGTAGATGGGATATTGATTGTATCGGGCCGAGTCGTTGTAGGATGGGGGATTGAGGGTGGGATTGGGGGGGATTTGGGGGGGGGGTTAGGGGGGGATTAGGGGGGGGTTAGGGGGGATTAGGGGGGGATTGGGGGGGGGGTTTAGGGGGGGATTGAGGGGAGGGGAGGATTGAGGGGAGGATTGAGGGGAGGATTGAGGGGAGGATTGAGGGGAGGATTGAGGGGAGGATTGAGGGGAGGATTGAGGGGAGGATGAGGGGAGATCGGGATTGCTGGTCTGGGGGTTGTGTAAGTTCGTGTGTTGTTTGTCCTGCTATATCTGGGTGTGTTGTCTGTGTGTGTGTGAAGCTGGATGAGGACGGTGATACTGTACGATGGGGATAGTTGTCGCCATCGCCTCAAACCAGCCAGCAAAACAAACCATGCTAGTGGCGTTTTCGGCAACTGCGTTTTCGGCACCTGTTATAGAGGACCATACGTAAGTCCATACGCGGCGCACTAACCGCAATCTCCACTAGCGGCTTTTACGTAGAGTGTCTTTTACTCCGTAGAGTAAGTGTACAAGGTCGATACCTCTTGCACACAGCTAATCACTACTAACCACCACCCAACCCGCCACACAATTAGGGTACACTGACTTGTACTCCCCATGTCGCTTCTCCCTGCTCTTCCCACCCCACCGACTCCCCACCGACTCCCCACAGACTCGCAACTGCCCTATGAGAAATAACCTTAACAGTCCTATGTGGGTTATACAATTAAACAATTAAACACTAGCAGGGCCTAACTTTGTCTAACTTCGTCTAACTTCGTCTAACGTCGTCTAACGTCGTCTAACGCAACCTAGCACGGTCTAGTATACATCTCACGCCGTCATATCCGTCATATCCGTCATGTCCGTCATGTCCATCGTCCCCTCTTAGACCTCTCCTCCGCCGCCAGTCTCTCTGCCGCCAATCTTTCTGCCGCCAGTCTCTCTGCCGCCAGTCTCTCCGCCGCCAGTCTCTCCGCCATTCCCCCATTCCCCCATTCTCTACCCTGAATGGCCTCGCAATGACCTCTTTATCCTACTCCAAAGGATCTATGCACCATCTTTTTATCCATAATCCCACTCCTCCCCCCCTCACCGACGACATCTCTCCCAGCACCACACGCGACTCGCCGCTCCACATATCAACAGCAGCTATCGCCGCGCCGGTGCGTTTTATCATCCCCATTGCATTTTCTTGGCTTCCCTTGGCGGCTGCCCCTACCTATTTGCCACTTGGCCCATCCCCTTATGCTTGTTTCCAAAAAAAAATGATCTAAACACGACTAACAATGTCGCTTGAAGACCCCCCACACTCGTTTTTCTTGAATCCGGATTCGGACTGACTCGGTTGGTTCCTGGATATATCGACTGCGACTACGTACGTTCCACCACCACCGCGAACCCACGACGAGCCTTCGGCCTCCACACTTTCACCTACCTACCTCGACTCGAACCTTGGGGATTACGAAACGTCGTCCCTTTTTGCCCTTTCTTTCCTCTCCTTTCGACCTTTCTTCGGCGTCTGTTCGTTGTGTCTCTCTTTTACGTGTTGCGCTGGGGATAAGGGATAATGGTTGTGAAGTACGAGAATGTGAAATGGGTTGATGTATGTTCACTCCCAGCAAACAACATCTCTCCTGTCCCCCATTCACCATCCTATCCTCCCAGCCTTCTCACAAGATCTCGTGGCCCAGCCTCACCACCACCACCTCCCCCAATCCCCTCCCCCAATCCTCAGAAAAAGCCCCAAGCTAACCCTCCTCCCCCCCAAGGGCCTCCGCGGTCTCGCCTCTGTCTCCGTGGTCATCACCCATCTCGCGCGCACCTTCGACCAGATCCTCTTCTACCCCAACACCGGCGGCAGCCCCGACAACCACCCCTACGTCCTCCAATGGCCCATCATCCGCGTCTTCGTGCAGGGCCGCATCGGCATCGCCATCTTCGCCCTCGTAACCGGCTACGTGTGCGCGCTCAAGCCGATCCGACAGTCCAAGTCCGGCAACATCGACGGCGCCCTGACGAGCGTTGCCAAGTCAGCATTCAGGAGAATCCCGCGGCTCTTTCTGCCGACGACGATCGCGACTTGTATTATGTGGGTGCTGAGCCAGTTGGGGGCATATGATGTTGCGGAGGCGACGGATAGTTACTGGTTGATTACGACGAGCCCGGTGCATCGTCGGCCGTTTAGCGCGGCGGTGCATAGTCTGTTCCGCGAGATCATGATGACGTGGACTGTGCTGCAGAATAATTATGATCCGAATCAGTGGACGCTGCAGCCGCTGTTGAAGGGGAGTATGATGGTGTATATGCTTATCTTTGGGACGATCTATATGCAGCAGAAGTACAGGATGATGACTAGTCTGGCGTTTTACATGTATTTCTTCTTGGCCGGCGAAGGTGCGTTTCCCCCAATTCAAGCTCCAGGTGTCAACACCACGGCCACAATCACAGCCAGCTAACACAACCCAGTCACATTCAGCATGCAATTCTTCTTCGGCATGTTCCTCTCCGACCTCTCCCACCACCAGCCCACCCTCGACTTCATCAACGCGCGCATCTGGATCCGCCGCTTCCTCCCCCCCCTCCTAATGCTCATTGGTCTCTGGATCGCCTCCTACCCCGAACACCACGCCGAATGGTCCAACTGGTCGCAGCAGCTCCAAGACCTCTCCACCTACATCCTCCTCATGAAGCAGGACACCGCGCGCTTCTACACCGGCCTCGGAATGGACTTCATCTGCGTCGCCATCTTCCTGTCTCCCACCCTCAAATACGTCTTGAGCAGCAAGTACCTGTTATGGCTGGGAAAGAACTCCTTCGCCGTCTACCTCATCCACGGCACTTTGATCCGCACTGTTTTAACATGGTGCATGTACGGCGTATCGATCCCGGCGAAGGTCGAGAAGGAGGTCGATGGTGAGATGACGCTAGTGAACGGCCCGGGATTGAAACACGGCGGGTACGTGTACATGACGGTTTTCATCCCTCTCTTCTTCGTGCTGCTGTACTTTCTCGCCAATCTGTGGACCATGCATGTTGATCCGCTGTGCGCGAGGTGGACGGCGGCGTTTGAGAGGGCGACGCTGAATGAGAGCGAGAAGACTACGTCGAGTGGGTCGGGGGGGCAGGGGTTGTTGAGTCAGCCGCCTGCTTGAGCAGTATCTCTCTTCTTTGTTTTTTGGGATGTGGTATTGATGGGTCGGCCGGGGGAAGGCGGTACGGCAAGTGTCGAATGAGACGATATGGGGTGTCTTTGCATAGCCAAGTGCATATGGGAGTGTTTCCTCCCACTACAGTTTTTGTTGCTCATTTCCGTCGTCACCTAGGGAAGGGATATAGTTATGAAAGCTGGGGGGGTTAGAATGGATCGAGATACGATCGCGAGATGGGGTTTACATTTTGATGCCCATCATCATCCGACCAACGCTACGGCTTTTTGTTTTCTTTGTTTCCGCTACCTACCTAACTCTTGTCTACTACTACTACTTTTGTACGATTAAGAGAGGAGGATCGATTGTGGTATACTTTTTGCTTGTATGTATGGAGAAGAATATATACCTCCATCTTGATGGGACGACGGAAAGGGGATTGTGTATCATGGGAGGGATAGAGAGGGGGTATAGAGTAGTATGTACGGAAATGGAACAGTATATACAGTATATACGAACCCCTAATCGATGCTGCTTAGGAGCGCTTAATCTGCCTTGAGAGTGCCTTACGCCACGACCTCCTTGGCAGTATTTGTACGGCATCATTGTTTACAACAATTATATCACGTGCTGGAGTCGCAAGCTGAACCATGAATGCTCACTTGCCAAGACTAAGACAGGGGTCTTCACACCGACGATGGAAGTATATAGTAGGAACGCGGACCTCTGGAAAAAGGCCGACGGTCAACCTTCGTAATGTAGAAACAGAATTCCACAGACGTAGGATTCCACGTATACTGCCAAATATATCCTTGAAATCGGGCAAATGCTCTTCAATAGCAGCTCCAACCAAGCCAGTTTAGTTCTCAATCCAGTTCTCCACCTCCCCAGCACCCTACCCATCCATTCCCGCCGCCGCAATGATCCTCCGCCTCCCCCCCTCCCCTTCTGGGCCGCCCTGGCGCCCCTCACCCTCGCCGCCAGCGCTTCCATAACCTACCCAGCAACCATCGAAACCGACCTCCTCTTCCCCCTCAACGCAACCTACGACAGCAACCCCACCTCGCCGCCCATCATCGTCGGGATCCAGAACGGCCAGGCCGCCTACGCGTATGAATGGAGCATCCGCTAGGCGGTCTGGGCCGCCTCCTTCCCCTCGTCGGAGATCCCGGGTATGGGCGGTTTCGTGGGGTCGCGGGCGAGGATAACGGGCAGGTGGATTGTATTTGGGAGTTTCTTGGTACGGGGAAGTATGAGACGGAGACGTGCTTGTCGGCGTTTAAGAGGGCGGATCCGGAGTGGCCTATGGATATAGACTGTTCTCTAAAATATTACCCCACCAACCTTACACAGCCTTCCCAAGTACCCAACTCTATAACACTATACTAAACTGGTAACGTATTTGTTCCAGCCCAACCGTGAACTGAGCTGGTTCATGAACTAGCCGGCCCAACTAGAAGTAGGAGTAATCAATTGATCTATATAGCTACGTTTCCTGCTGTGTCTGCCCGTGCTCGTTTCCGACGAGGCCTCTTAGCTAGAACTATTTCTGTACGAGTAGCTAGACCTGATAAATTGCCACAGTCATGGTCGTCATTATGGCAGTGTATACTACACTCCTTAGCTTCCTTATAACAACAGCACCTCTTTGTACTACATTGACCCTTACATTAACATGATATTACAACCCATGCGCTTGTAGAAGTAGGAATAATGATATCTGACCATAGAGCTTGCTCTACAACTCTACGTGATTTTATAGGTATAAGGTGTTGTATAATACTAGAGAGTGTTAAAACCTAATATCGGTGTAGGTAAGGCTCTTCTACAATGTGTGCAAAGTGCGTCTTATTATCAGTTGAGGTTCTATCATCTCAAGGCACCTTTATAGAGACTATAGCTCTATGTAATGCTACTTCCTGTTACGATATCAAGTGCGCCTTGCAGCTCGAGTGGGCTGAAGTCGATTCCAGGACGATCTCGAGGCAACCTCTCAAAGTTGGCTTTCGACAGTCAGCTCAACACACACACACCACCTTCGCAAGTCAGACCTTTTACAACGCTCCCTCGACAAGGATATAACTGTGAGGGAAGTGCGCTCCTCTCGAGTGGCTCCTACAGCCAACAACTGCACAATAGGGCCTTTGGCAATATGTGTCTGACTTGACGATATAAACCGAAATTGAAATAGCAACTCGCTATGGCTTATACAGCTGAAGAAAAAGCTGCAATGGCAGCTCGAAATGATCCAGAACAAGACCAGGAATCCCTGGCAGAAGGAGCATCAATTCCAAGCTCTGCAAACCAAACCAATGAACTTCATGATCCTAATTTCAAATCCGAAACCTTCCTTCACACTCTGGGCAAAACAGCTCAAGAGAGACATGAATTTATACTTGCAAATCGACATGAAAAGGCTGAATGGAATGTTGAAACCTTTGATGAATTCCAGAAACTATCTGTCGCCAACCAGAAAATGGCATGGACTTTGCACAAGAACATTCTTCGGGACTATTTGGCCCTAGCAGAGGACTCAAATTCGATACTGGCTGAAAAGGATGATGCCATTCTCCAGTTACAGGAACTGATCCAGAGCAACGAGCAACAAATCACAGAGCAACAAACAATTCAGAAATATCTTGAAAAGCAAACCCAACAAGCTCTGAAGAATGAACCAGGACACCACTCTCACAGTCGACTGTCAGCTCGGATTCCAGACCCTCCAATCCTCACAGATGGGATAGAGCCAGCATTTGAAGACTGGGTTGTGAAAATTCGCCTCAAGCTCGAAGCCAACATTGATCATTTTCCAACACAGACTTTACAAATGAGCTACATTCAGAGTCGACTGGGAGGACTGGCAGTTCGACATGTCAATCCAAGGCTTCGACCAAACTCTACAAACAAATTGCAGACAGCAGAAGAAATTCTCGAACTTTTGGAAAAAGTCTTCAGTGATCCTGATCGAAGGCACACAGCTCAAACTGAGTATCGAAAGCTGTATCAGAGAAACAACACCTTTTCAGTGTTCTGGGCTGAGTTCCAAAGGCTCACGACAGAGCTTGATTACTCTGAAGAAACTTTGCTGGATGACTTGCGCTTCAAAGTCAACCAACAGATGCAGAAAGCCTTAGTGGCTGAAGTTGGAGCTACTACACTTCACGAGTTTGCAAAGAAATGCATGCTCATCGACCAGAACATTCAGCGGATTAAGGAACAAGAAGACAAAAGAAATGCCTCCTCCGGAACCTGCTCCGAAAGTGGAAAAACCAAAACCTTGCACCATAGCAATGATTGGCGCAGCACCATTCCGAATGCTCATGAAGCAAAGAGGAGCTCAAGTCTTTGCTATATCAATGAAGGACATAATCGAGCACAAGAACAAGACCAAAACTGAAGAAATTGACTCTCGACTGATCCTTCCGAAGGAATTTCATGAATTTTTGGATTTTTTTCAAAAATGGCAGCAGACAAGCTACCTCCCCATCGACCTTCAGACCATCATATTGAACTCGAAGGTGATGCAAAGCTGGGATATGCACCACTCTGGAATATGTCAAAGGAAGAACTTGATTTGGTCGAAGAATATGTCTTCGAGCACTTGCCAAAAGGGTTCATTGAAGCAAGCAAAGCCCCATACTCTTCACCCATTATGTTTGTGAGAAAGCCAGGTGGTGGTCTTCGATTCTGTGTTGACTACAGGAAGCTAAATGCCATAACGAAAAAGGATCGATATCCCATACCACTCATTGATGAAACGCTGGCCCAAGTCATAGGAGCAAAATATCTCACCAAACTGGACATTCGACATGCCCTCAATCGAATTCGAATGCAGACAGAAGAAGATGAAGACCTCACTACATTCAGAACTCGATTTGGATCCTACAAATACAAGGTCATGCCCTTCGGACTCACAAATAGTCCAGCAACATTCCAGAGGTACATGAATGAAACCCTCATGGATTACCTCAACCAATTCGTCACCGCATACATGGATGACATTCTTATCTACAGTGCTACTCGAGCGGAGCATACAGAGCACATAAGGAAAGTCCTACAGAAGCTTCGAGAAGCTGGACTGCAAGCAGATATCTCAAAATGTGAGTTTTTCGTCCAAGAAACCAAATTCCTAGGACTCATCGTGGGAGTCAATGGCATTCGCATGGACCCTGCAAAGGTTTCTACTATATTGGAATGGCGAACTCCAAAATCGCTCAGGGATATGCAAGCTTTCATTGGATTCTGCAATTTCTATCAAAGGTTCATCCGAAATTACTCCAGCATCATGAGGCCATTGGTGAACCTTACCAGAAAGGATCAGATATTCGAATGGACTCATGCATGCCAAACTGCATTTGAGCTGTTGAAACAAACAGTCACAGAAGCTCCTGTCTTGAGGCATTTCGATAGAAACAAGACAGCCTATGTCGAAGCAGATTCCTCAGACTTCATCTCATCAGGAGTCTTGTCACAAAAAGATGATCAAGGGGTTCTACATCCAGTGGCATACTTCTCGAAAAAGCTAGCACCTGCAGAATGCAATTACGAGATATATGACAAGGAATTGCTTGCAATCATCAGATGTTTCGAAGCATGGAGACCAGAACTTGAAGGGACAGATTTTCCAGTCCAAGTCTTGTCTGATCACAAAAGCTTGGAATACTTCATGTCCACCAAGAAGCTGACAAGAATACAAGCTCGATGGGCCGAATTCCTCTCTCGATACAACTTCCAGATCATCTATAGGCCTGGGAAGCAAAATGGAAAAGCAGATGCTTTGACTCAAAGGCCTGATGACAGACCAGAAGGCAATGATGAGGATGATCGACAAAAGCAACAGCTTCAGGTGTTGCTACCACCTTCGAGGCTACATCCAGACATTCAGAAACTCAAAGAACAAGGCCAAACAGCTCAGCTAGCTCCAGTGGAAACTCATATCAGAGAAATGACAATTCTTGAGAAAATCCAAAAGTCTCAACTGGAAGACAAATTCTGCAAGGCTACACTACAGAAGCTTGAGAATGGTGATCGAACAAGCAAAGAGGTTGCATTGGCTTATTGCGAACTCAAAAACGGCATGCTAGAATATCAAAATCGAGTTTGGGTGCCAGAAACCATTCAGGTGGACTTGTTGAGAGAAGTTCATGAACAACCTTCTATGGGACATCCAGGAGCTGGAAAGATGCTGCGAGTCATGAAACAGCACTATTACTGGCCAAACATGGACAAAACAATAATTCGATATATCAAAAACTGCTATAGTTGTCGAAGATCGAAACCATCTCGAGATTCCTACAATGGACTTCTACAACCAATCCCTATTGACAGTCGACCATGGATGGATATATCAATGGATTTCGTGACAGGATTACCACTCTGTGAAGGGAACAATGCTATCTTGGTTGTTGCATGCAGGTTGACGAAAGAAAGACATTTCATTCCGTGTTTCGCTGGGCAAGAAGGGACTACTGCAGAAGCTACAGCACAGCTCTTACTTCGACATGTATGGAAGCACCATGGTCTACCAAACTCGATAATATCAGACAGAGGTCCTCAGTTCATTGCAGAAGTCTGGAGTTTGCTCTGCAAAATTTGGAAAATTTCAGCCAAACTTTCAACTGCCTTCCACCCAGAAACAGATGGACAGACTGAGCGATTCAATGCAGAGCTCGAACGCTACTTGCGAGCTCATGTGAACTATCTTCAAGACAATTGGGTTTCATACTTGTGCATGGCGGAGTTTGCTGCCAACAGTTTGCCATCAGATGCAACCAAGACAAGTGCGTTTTTTGCGAACAAGGGCTATGAACCAAGAATGAGCTTCGATACAGAGCAGCAAGCATATCACGAAGCCAAACAAGAGCACAAGAACATAGCTCAGACCATGGCAAAGGTTTGGGAGTTTCTGCAGGATGAAATCACGCTCTCGCAAGCAAAAATGGAACATTTCGCCAACAAGAAAAGGAAACCTGCACCACACTATCAAGTGGGAGACAGAGTATGGCTTTCAACTCGAAATATAAAGACACAGAGGCCATCAAAGAAGCTAGACCACAAGCAAGTGGGACCTTTTGAAATTCTAGAGCGAATTGGGCAAGTTGCATATCGGCTCAAACTTCCAAACAGCATGAAGATTCATCCAGTATTTCATGCCAATCTATTAAGACTTGACTCGAATGATGCAATCGAAGGGCAGCAACAGGAGCCAGAGCCTCCAGTCATTGTCAATGGCGAAGAGGAGTGGGAAGTGGACGAAATCCTCGACTCAAAAGTTATTCGAAAGAAGCTTTTCTACAAGGCAGCTTGGAAGAACTATCCACCAGATGAGACATGGTATACTGCAGAGAGCTTTGAAAATTCTCCAGAAGTTACCCAAGCATATCACAGAAAATACCCTCAGAAACCAAAATGAAAGCTGGAGACAATTGTTTTTTTTGAAAATGGGATTTCTTGATCAGGAGATCAA